CTCAGAGTAGTTTATTGTTTGTGTGTTTTCTTGTTTATTTATTTCCTTCCTTCCTCTCTCTCTTTCTTTGTTTTGTTGTTCCTTTCTTTCCTTCCTTCCCTTCCTCCCTCCCTTTCTCCCTTCCTCTTTCTTTCCCTTCCTTCCTTTCTTTCTTTCTTTTCTGGAAACAGTTTCGCTACATTCTCCATGCTGGCCTCCAACTGAGAATCCTCCTGCCTCAGTCTCCAAAGTGGCTGGGATTACAGAAATGTGCCACCATGATTGGTTTCAAAGTAGTTTCCTATTCTGTAAAATGGAACTAAGAAGCTGTTGTATTGAACATTTACTGGGCTGAGTACTAGGAGAGAAGAGATAGAAGGATGGATGAGGCCCGAGCCCTGCTCTCAGGATGCAGATACTTCATATGGACAGAAAACATGGAAGCAACATAAAGCTGGGCATTGTGACTCACATCTGTACTCCCAAAACTCCAAGAGCTAAGACTGGAGGATCATGAGTTCAAGTCCAGTCTGGGCTACCTATAGAGACTATATCCACAGATCGATCGACTGATCCATAGATAGATAGACATAGATAGATAGATAGATAGATAGATAGATAGATAGATAGACAGACAGACAGACAGACAGACAGACAGACAGACAGACAGACAGACAGACAGATAGATAGATAGATAGATAGATAGATAGATAGATAGATAGATAGATAGATAGATATACTGGAGAAGAAAGCAAGCAGCATAATGCTAAGTCCTAGCCACATTTCAGCTTCAGGCTTTCTGTTTTGTTTTCTCACTTCCTCTCTCCTTTAAGAATTTTGGTTCTAGCCGGGTGCTGGTGGCTCACACCTGTAATCCTAGCTACTCAAGAGGCTGAGATCTGAGGATCGCGGTTCAAAGCCAGCCCGGGCAGGAGAGACCGTGAGACTCCTATCTCTAATAAACCACCAGAAAACCGGAAGTGGTGCTGTAGCTCAAGTGGTAGAGCGCTCGCCTTGAACTGAAAAGCTGAAGGACAGCTCCCAGGCCCAGAGTTCAAGCCCCACAACCGACAAAAAAAAAAAAAAATTTTGGTTCTTTTAGCTGGGTGCTGTTGGCTCATGCCTGTAATATTAGCTACCCAAGTGGTTGAGATCTGAGCATCACAGTTCAAAGCCAAACTGGGCAGGAAAGTCCATGAGACTCTTGTCTCCAATGAACCACCAGAGACCCAGAATTGGAGGTGTGGCTAGAAATAGTAGAGCACTAGCCTTGAGCATAAAAGCTCAAGGACCATGCCCAGGCCCTGAGTTCAAGTCATAACCAACAAATAACAAAAAAGAATTTTCTCTTTCTTTTCCTTCCTTCCTTTCTTCCATCCTTCCTTCCTTTTTTATTTCTCTCTTTCTCCTTCCTTCCTTCCCTTTCTTTCTTTCTTTCTCTCTTTCTTTCTTTTCTTAAACTGAAGGCCTGGGTGCTGTCCCTGAGCTTCTTTGGCTCTACTTCTGGCTTTTTAGTGGTTAATAGGAAATAAGAGTCTCATAGACTTTCCTGGCAATGGTTTTGATTTTCTTTGTCCTTCCCCAATTAGCTTTATCTCACTGAATTGGCAGGGCTAGTGCGAGGACCCCCACACACACCTCCCTGCCACCCAGGGACCCCCCCTCCCATGTGTACCCATCCTTCCCTCCTGGACATAGTTCTAACAGAGGAGGATTTCAGATATGAACCCCCCAGCCTGATGCCAAGACCAAGACTTGCCCATTCACCAGTATCCCCTGTTCTCCTGCTTCTAATCCCTTCTCTGCAAACTTTTCAATCTGCTCTCTGAGGCCCAAATCTGCTGTTTATTAATGGCCTTTCATAAAACACATTATATGTGCAATATGGCTTAGGAATTGTATTTTTGCCAGGCTCACACAAATAAAGACTAATATAGTTGGTTAAAATAAAGTTGTTAGTACAGCATAGATCAGAGTTCAAATCCAGTCTTGTAATTATCTCTTGCATGACCTTTCCTGAGTCACTGTGTCTCTCCAGCCCCTGCTCCTCTCTTTCTCAGAAAGGTAGTAATCATAGGTTATTGTGAATATTAAATGAGAGCTTAAGCCAAGCAACAGTGGCTCATGCCTGGAATCCTAGCTACTCAAGAGGCTGAGATCTGAGAATCAAGGTTTCCTGTGCAGGAAAATCTGTGAGACTCTTACCACTAATTAACCAGCAAAAAGCCAGAAGTAGAGCTATGGCTCAAGTAGTAGAGTACTAGCCTTGAGTGAGAAAGCTAAGGGGCAGGGACGACTAGGCCCTGAGTTCAAGCCCCAGTACAAGCACAAGAAAGAGAGAGAGAGAGAGAACTTAATCTATAGAGTATTTGAAAACATGACCCTATAACAAGTGCCTATTTAAAACAAACAACAAAAAGAACCTAAACAGCTGCAACAATGTAACTGTACACAATGGTATAATACTGTGCATTTCAACTTGACTTTCCCAAAACTAGAGCCTGAGCCAAAAATCCGCATGAAATATTTGTTAAAACGTGATGAGGAGGGCCTGGGAAGGGGGCTCAGTGGTAGAGCTCTTACCTTGCATGCATGAGGCCCTGGGTTCGATTCCTCAGCACCACCTAAGCAGAAAAAGCTGGATAGTGGTGCTGTGGCTCAAGTGGTAGAGCACAACTTTGAGCTGAAAAGCTGAGGGACAGCGCCCAGCCTTGAGTTCAAGGCCTTCAACAACAACAACAGCAAAGTGGTGATGGAGTAGAATGACAAAGAGGGACCTAGAAGAGAAGCGACCAAGCAATGGGTGGACCGGACAGACTCATGGAGGGCAGCATCCAGGCCAGGGCTTCAGGAATGGATGCTTGCACATTTATCAGTCATTAGACAAGGCCTAGGGGTGGGATGGGGGTGTGGGAAAGGCGGGGAAGGTGTGAGGATGTGGAAGAGAAAAACTTCAGGGAATTCCAAACTCAGCAGCAGAGCAGGAGCACGAGAGGAGATGCAGGGAGTGTACAACAATTTGGGTGTCAGTAGGTACAGAAAGTATTAAAGGTTAGGAAGAAAAGAAATATGCAGAACGCAGTCCCCATGGTGGCCTGTGAGGAGAAGACAGCCAGGAATTCATCATTGCTCTGAAGTGGTGCAGGGCTGAGGGTGGGGACGGACAGTGGTACATGAAGAAGCATCCCAGAGAAGCAACTGGCTGAGGGAGTCAGGCCATGCCAGGAAGAGCGCCTACAAAGACAGAGGCCCTGTGGGCGCCTGCCCACAAATGCTCTTGGGCCTGTCTGCTTTGGGAACCTACAGTGGGCTTCCATGACTTGGCACTAGCTGCTTCAGCGCCTGCGCTGTGCGTGAGCGGCACAGCCTGCCGTAGCCCATCCTTCCTCCCGGTCCTGCGGTACCCTCCTCCCGAACCGGCCTCAGTGATCCAACTCACAGTGACTCTCCCTTGAACTCCTGGCATTTACTGTCAAGGCCATTACTTTGGTGCTTATTCATATAACTATTTAGTCGTTCAGCCTTACTGCCCATGATGGTATTTAATTGCATGTAAATCTTATCTCTCCTGGTTTCATTTATCAACTTTCTGCCAGTGGAAATGGCAAATTTTTATTTTTTATTTTATTTTATTTTTTGCCAGTCCTGGGGCTTGAACTCAGGGCCTAGGCACTGTCCTTGAGCTTCTTTTTGCTCAAGGTTTGCACTCTACCATTTGAGCCACAATGCCACTTCTGGCTTTTTCTGTTCATGTGGTACTAAGGAATCGAACCCGGGGCTTCATGCATGCTAGGCAAGCACTCTACCACTAACCCACATTCCCAGCCCATAAGCCACATTTCCAGCCCTAAATTTTTACTCTTTATATATTTTCCCATGGCTTCTGACATTGGTGGACATAAAGATATGAGTAAATGAATGAATGAATGAACAAATATTTGGATTTCATCTGCTTTATGGCCTATTATCTATACTACCAGAAGATTCTAAGTGTTAAATAATTATTCCATCCTGGATTCATATCACAATTTTGGAAGTAGTATTAGAGTTTGAACTCTGCCTAGAGCTTTCTAGGCAGGTACCTACCACTTAAGCCATATCTCCAGCCTCATATTATAATTACAAGATAAATGTTATCAAAGCTACACATATTAATAATGAATAGACATAAGAAAACTTTTGTTGAAACACATTTTTATTTGCCACTCCTAGGGCTTGAACTCAGGAACTGGGCACTGTCCCTGAGCCTCTTTGTGCTCCAGGCTAGCACTCTACCACTTGAGCCACAGTACCACTTCCAACTTTTTGAGTAGTTTATTTGTGATAAGAGTCTCATAGATTTTCCTGCCTGGCCTAGCTTCCAACTGTGATCCTCAGAGCTCGCCTCCTGAGTAACCAGGATTATAGGCATGAGCGCAGGTATGAGGCATGGGCACCCAGCTTGAAACACTTTTTTTTTTCCGAGTAGATATTGAACTCAGAGCCTCCTCTATCACCTGGGCTATACCTGAAGCTCATAAAATGGCAGATTTGTATTCCTATCAGCTTTTGGTAGCTCCTGACCAGCTCCATGGTCAGGAGTGAGCAAGAAATTCACGAGGGGGTACACATATATCTGGAAATGGGTTCCCTTAACCTACCCACACACACCCTTGGGAAAGATAGCAGAGACCAAAGGTATGAAATCAAAAGCCTTTAGAGAAAGACCTAACATATTTTCTTGTTCTTCAGTAGAGGTCCCAGAAGTGAAAAAACATGGGTCTTTCATATTCCTCTCCCCACACTCCCACACCCCATGAGAATCCATGTGACCTCTGTTTCATTTCCATCCCTCCTTCAGCTGAGCCCCACAATCCATTGGCACTCTATCTAGGCAAGACAGGAACTCAAGTTACTTCTAATTTAGAGCTTAGAGGACGTCATCTGAATATATAAAAAGATAAGCACTGGTAAAGAAGTAGCCTAGAGTTAAAATTAAGAAATCATGGTTTTTATTTTTCCAATTCATGGAAGCACCGTCATTGGCAACAGATGAATTCCAGCCAATGGCCACTAGATGGCAGCAGTGAATACAATGTTGCCGAGCCTCCCTGGCTTTACCACGTAGGGAAAGACTGGGAAGGGGAAGGGGAAGGGGGTCTGGGGAAGAAGCACAGGTGAGGTAGGAGAGTGTGTTTTTGTGGTCAGAGAAAGGAAGAAGGTGAGAAGCTGAAAATGGGCCGCCAGAGAAATGGACAGTATTAAGGACACCATCTGAGTGCAGAGTACAATTGAGGGAATGAGGAAGGGAATTCGACAAAACTGGAACAATTTTAAGGGGAAGCAGAAGGGTAGAGGTGAACTTGGGGGCACTCTGCCTGGAGGCCCAAATCACCTGCGGTGGGGGGGTCCTCATTATCTGTATTCTTCCTGGGGTGGGTCGAGGTCTGGCTCTTCCTGAGAACCATGGTCCACCTCTGGGGCAGGAGGCCATGGGTTTTCTGGAGGCTGAGGCCCTGCTGGCCAGGGGTCATCAGGCCTGGGAGGTTGAGGAGGTTCAGTGCTAGGGGGTTCGGGGGGCCAGACACCAGTTGTAGATACATCTCTCCAGGGGCGGTTAGGGCCTGGAGGTGGAGGGTCTTCATAGAGGGGGGGTGCCCCTGGCCAGGGGTCACCAGGGATTGGGGGACCCTGAGGCAGTGTGGGGGAGCTCTCCTCCTCTGTAGACTCTGTGGGTGGGGTAGGGAGTTGGTCCCCACTGCCTGATATGCCTGTAGAAGAGGAAGGAAAAATGGTAAGAGATGGTGAGGGCGACTTCCCTCCTCTCTGGGAGGGACACAGCCTGAGCAGACACCATGAACAAAGCTCAAAGTGACATCTCACATTCCCTGTACACATTTCCCAAATAGACCCCAGCAATCTTAAGGTGACGTTGAAACCCTGGACTGACTGAACCATGCAGTTGACCTACTTTAAGAAGCCTGGAAACCCACCAAATAAGCTCCATTTAAATGTGGCTGGGGAACCCTACCAACACCCCCTTCTACCAGACTCATCTGCACCCAAAGTGGTCTACACCTTGACCCCATGCAGCATGTAGACCCCACTCCACAGCAACCCCACCACCATGAACAACAGCTCCAACAGCCCCACACACTTGAACATTGAGATTGCCACCCGGCTCCCCCTGAGCCAAGCAAAGCTCTTCCCCTTAATGCCCAGAAGCCCCTCCATTCCTGAGCACCTCCAGTTCAACCCTGTCCTTCTTTGTGGCCACCTTCACTAAGTAAAAGATGGGTCATCTGGGCCATGTCCATCCCGCCAAATACACTGCTGGCCTCTCCCCGGCTCACCTCCGGCACACAGGCAAAGGACCAAGAGTCCCAGCAGCTTCCAGTTAAGCATCATGGCTGTCCACTGGCCCCCAAAGGTGGGGTGCACTGCGTCTAGGTGCATGGGAACCCCAAGAGGATTTATAGGGGAGGAGGGAGAGGAGGAAGTCAGTCTTGGGGGGAGGGGCCAGACCAGTGACCAAGGAATCCCATCAGAACCTAACTGGTTGAACCCGTTTGGAAGGCCCTAGCTAATGTAGCATGGCGTCTCTCATTTTAGTCCCCCAGCCCTGTACCCAACTGCCAGCTCTCCCCTATCAATGACCCAGACCCTGAGTCACCCCACCTTTGTTTTTACACCCTGTCTACCCACACCCCACAGCAACCAATTCATCTCCATAATCACAGGGACATCCACCTTTCATCTGGATCTCTTACCTATTGAAGCCAAAAAAAAAAATAGGGGCAAACCCTGCGTGGGGAAGCACCATTAATTACAGGGCAGCAGGCAGGACGCCAAAGCTGGGGGGGGGCTTTGGAAACCTGGGATGTTCGTGAACAGTGTGAGCTAGCACTCCAGCCTCAGCCCCTCACCCTTATCTTGGGGGGCTGGTGGGGGGAGGGGTTGACTTCTTACTTAGCCTGGCACTTCCACTCCCTAGGGACCAGGCATGCTGCTGGCTGGCTCACAGGCCCTCTTCAGTCATAAGAGGACTCCCAAGCAGTGACACCCAAGTTCTTCCACCCAGGACCCACCCTGGCGTGACTACAGAAGAAGAAGGAGACAAAGATATCCTGGTTTCCTCTCCCCCACACAGAGCTGGTTGCACCAGGTCCAGCCCAGAGGCTGGGAAACAAGGAGTTGCGCCATGGGTAACCCCAGGACCCCCTCCCCTTCCCAACCCCATTTTGGTCCAGGGCCCAGTTCTATGTTCCCTCCTCTTAAGTCTCAGCACCCTTGTGCCTCAGAGCTCCTCCCAGAATGCAGTTCCTCCCCAAGTTGTTCCCACTCAGCCAGCATCTCTCAGTGACACTGATGTCATATTCCTGGCTCCTGTGGGGACCAACATCCCTTCCCTCACTGCCCCACCTGCAATCCCCCATTCCAGCCACAGACCACTCCTCACCCCAGCCTCCTCCGCTCTTCTGCTCTTCCTCCCTCACACCACCTGTAAAATGCAAGTCAGAGCAGGGCACTGGTGGCTCACACCTGTAATCCTCGCTACTCAGGAGGCTGAGATCTGAGGATGGCAGTTCAAAGCCGGCCTGAGCAGGAAGGCCCATGAGACTCTTATTTCCAATCACAGAAAAAGCCAGAAGTGGCAATGTGGTTTAAATGGTAGCCTTGAGCAAAAGCTCAGAGACAGCACTCAGGTCCAGGATTCAAGCCCCAATACTTCCCCCCCCCCCAAATGCAAGTCAGATCACCTTGCTCCCCTAAGTATATGTAATAAAACATATACTATTAACTTGGAATAAAACCCAAACTCCTTGCACTGGTCTTTTCTTCCCAACATCCTCTGACCCACTAAGCCCTCCTGGCTCAGCACAAGGTCCCCTCATCTAATGCTGCCAAATTCTTTCCCTTGCCTCACTCTACCTTGCTAGCACTGTCAGGGGCCTCTTATTGGTCCTGAGGTGCTTATTTTTGTTTCCCATTAGAATGTAGGTGCCTGGGCTCAGAGGCCTGGCCCATCAATCACTGTGGCCTCAGCTAGGACAGTCTGGCTAAGATTCTTCTTGAATAAGGGAATATTTAACTTCCTGCTCCTGCCATTCATCATCTTTCAGAGGAGAGTTTAAAGCTGGGAAGCTAGGTGCTGGTGGCTCACATCTATAATCCTAACTAATCAGGAGGCTGAGATCTGAGGATTGTCCAAAGCCAACCAACACAGGGAAGTCTATGAGACTCTCATCTCCAATAAAACTACCAAAAAAAACCCCAGAAGTGGAACTGGGACCCAAGTGGTAGAGCACTAGTTTTGAGCAAAAGAAGCTCAGGGAGAGCACGTAGGCCGAGTTCAAACCCCAGGATCAACAACAATCAATCAATCAATCAATTGATCAAATAAAGAAACACCAAGTAAGCCGGGCGCTGGTGGCTCATGCCTGTAATCCTAGCTACTCAGGAGGCTGAGATCTGAGGATCTCGGTTCAAAGCCAGCCCGGGCAGGAGAGACCGTGAGACTCCTATCTCCAATAAACCACCAGAAAACCGGAAGTGGTGCTGTAGCTCAAGTGGTAGAGCGCTTCGCCTTGAGCTGAAGAGCTGGGGGACAGCGCCCAGGCCCAGAGTTCAAGCCCCACGACCGCCAAAAAAAAACAAACACCAAGTAGACTAGCTAGGAAAGGGGTGTGGAAAGAGGTACCACCAGAGTAGCTGTGGAGGGCCACTTGGCAGAGCCCCAGGAAGATGGCTGCATGCCTCTGAAGCCAACATTTCAAACCATGGCTCTACCACAATCATCTTTATTTAGTGCAAGAGAATTCAGACATGGTGGAGGCTGATGTCCCCAAGGCTGGACCGTGATGAGGGCTGGACTGCCCTCACCCCATTTCTCCTGGATCCTCTTATCCTCCTGGGGATCCAGCCCCAGGCTGGCTTCCCTCTGAGTTCTACTGCTTAGCTGCTTAGCTGCTCAGCCGTGGACTGGAGCGGGAGAGTTCTGCTTGTCTCCTTCACAAATGGCTTCCTCTTTGGAGATGGACTCACTTAGACCCTGTAAGTTATCAAGCAGGAGAGAGAGGGACCCTGGGAAAGAAGACACCAAGGGACAGATGTCAAGGTGAGAGAAGGCTCTGGACTGTGCATAGGATGGGAAGGTCTAGGGTAAGTAGGGATAACAAAGGCTGAGGGGCCTTTTTTTCCTCCTTTTTTCCCCCTTGTTAACAATATGGGGATTTGAACGTCAAACTTCACATTTGTTTGGCTTCCTTGCTCAGTTAGTGCTCTACTACTTGAGCTAAGCCTCCAGTCTGGCTTTTTTTTTATTTTTTTGTGGTCGTGGGCCTGAACTCTGGGCCTGGGTGCTGTCCCTTAGCCCTTCAGCTCAAGACTAGCATTCTACCACTTGAGCCACAACGCCACTTCCAGCTTTTTCTGCTTATGTGGTGCTGAGGAATCGAACCCAGGGCCTCACGCCTGTGAGACAAGCACTCTACCACTGAGCCACCTTCCCAGCCCCCTGGCTTTTATTTTTTAATTGTTATGATAAAGGTGATGTACAGAGTGGTTGCAGTTACATAAGTCAGGTAAAGAGTGCATTTCTTTTTTGACAATGTCACCCTTTCTCTTTCTCTCTCCAGCCTGGCTTTTGGCTGGTTAGTTTGAAAATAGAGACTTAAGGAATTTAATGCCAGAGCTGGCCTAAAACCTCAATCTCCAGAATTCAGCCTGCAGAGTAGCTAGATTACAGGCATGAGAACAGGATGGAGACTCCTGATTACCCTTACCCCTTCTGCTTAGCCCATTACCTTTTATGGATCCCCTGGTGGGCAGGGCGGTGGCTGAAGGTGCAGATGCTGTGGATCCTAAAGGCCAGGGGCTGGACTCCACAAACTTCTTATCCAATATGGAGGGAAAAACCGCCAACAGCCGCTGCTGCTTGTAATGGGAGAGGAGACCCTCTTGCTGCAAGGTGGCCTGGGAAGGAGAGGGTTAAACGCCACCTAGCCCCAGCAGAGCCTCCCCCCCCCCCTTCTACCTCTTTACCCAGCAACCAGTCCACCGTGGGCTCTGGTCTGTTATCTCCTACCATCATGAGGTTCTTGTCCCTCTCCAGCTCCTGCACCCTTCGAGTCAGCCTCTCCCCCTCTTCCTTCCGGGCCTCATCCTGCAGACGTCTGAGTTCCTGGTTCCGTTCCTTTTCCCGGGTGGCTTTGCGCTGGATCTGGCGCAGGGAGACCACTACAGAAAAGTCAGGTAAGTGCGGGAGCCATCTACCGCAAAACTGAGACTGGAATGCAGGTCAGGAACACTGGCTCCCAGCTGGGAAATGACTCTGCTCTCAGTATCTTCTTGGTACAGTGGACAGGGTGAGCTGATATCAGCTCCAAGGACCCGGTCCATCTTCCGACCCTCTACCCTTGTAAAATGAATGCACTGGTGGCTTATGCCTATAATCTTAGCTACTTAGGAAGCTGAGATTTGAGAATCCAAGTTCTAAGCCAGCCTGGGCAGTAAAGTCCTTCTCATTTTCAATTAACCATAAGAGCCAGAAGTGGTTCTTGTGATAGAGTGCTAATCTTGAGTGAAAAAGCTAAGGGACAGAGCCTAGGCTCTTAGTTCAAGCCCTAATACCAGCAAAAAAAAAAAAAGACCAGAGATAACTTAAAATTATATTAATGAAGCCGGGCGCTGGTGGCTCACGCCTGTAATCCTAGCTACTCAGGAGGCTGAGATCTGAGGATCGCGGTTCAAAGCCAGCCCGGGCAGGAGAGACCGTGAGACTCCTATCTCCAATAAACCACCAGAAAACCGGAAGTGGCGCTGTAGCTCAAGTGGTAGAGCGCTTCGCCTTGAGCTGAAGAGCTGAGGGACAACGCCCCGGCCCAGAGTTCAAGCCCCACGACGGACAAAAAAAAAAAAAATTATATTAATGAGGGACTTAAGCCATAGGTACAGCACCTGCCCACCAAGAAAGAAGCCCTGAATTCAAAGCCTAGTACTGAAAAAAAAAAAAAAAGAATGTGTAGAAGTGGCACTGTGGCTCAAGTGGTAGAGTGCTTGTCTTGCTTGAGCTGAAGAGCTGAGGGACAGTGCCCAGGCCCAGAGTTCAAGCCCCACAACTGACAAAAAATAAAAATAAATAACATCAAAAATGAATGTGTGGCCAGGTGCCAGTGGCTCATACCTGTAATCCTAGCTATTCAGGAGGCTGAGATCTAAGGATCGAGGTTTGAAGCCAGCCTGGGCAAAAAAGTCCGTGAGACTCTTATCTCCAATAACTACTCAGAAAAAGCTGGAAGTGGTGATGTGGCTCAAATGATAGAGCACTAGCCTTGAGTAAAAGAGCTCAGGGACAGCAACAAGGCCCTAAGTTCAAGCTCCACAACCGAAAAAAATAAAAAAATAAAAATAAAAATAGAAAATAAATGTGTGGGCTGGGAAGGTGGCTCAGTGGTAGAGCGCTTGCCTTGCATGCATGAGGCCCTAGGTTCGATTCCTCAGCACCACATAAGCAAAAAGAAAAAAGCTGGAAGTGGCGCTGTGGCTCAAGTGGTAGAGCACTAGCCTTGAGCTGAAGAGCTGAGGGACAGCGCCCAGGCCCAGAGTTCAGGCCCCATGACCGGACCCAAAAAAAAAAAAAGAAAAGAAATGTGTGAGGGAATAAATGAGAGAGCAAATGCGGCAAATGGTAACTGTCCTATCTACTTGAATTATATAAATATATAAATGAGTAGTCACTAATTAGGTGACTCTAACTCATCCAGGTGTTTGAAGATTGTGTTTAAGGGGAAGCTGCTAATGATGGGGATCCTGATAGCATTTGTTGAAAGGTGGTGACTGGATCTGCACAGTCCAGAGGCTCTGCAACTCATCACACAACTAGCCTTTTTTGGGGGTACTCTGGCTTGAACTCAGTGCTTGGCGCATACTAAGCTTGCTTGCTCAACAGGTATTTAGCCATACTTCCATTCTACTTTTTACTGGTTATCTAGAGATGGAGTCTCCCAGACTATTCTGCACAGGCTGGCTTAAACCAAGAGCCAATGGGTCTCAGCCTCCAGAACAACCAGGATTACAGGTGTGACCCATCAACACCTAGTTCACATACTGTTTCTTGATCTGTTTCTTACTACAAGAGAATTCATTTGTGTCATTCCTCCATTTATTAACTTGCATGCTTCAATAAAGACCTTTAAAAATAATAGGGACCAGCTGGGAAGGTGGCTCAGTGGTAGAGTGCTTGCCTTGCATGCATGAAGCCCTGGGTTCGATTCCTTAGCACCACATAAGCAGAAACAGCCAGAAGTGGCATTATGGCTCAAGTGGTAGAGCGCTAGCTTTGAGCTGACCTGCTGATGGACAGCGCCTGGGCCCAGGGTTTAGGCCCCATGACCAACAAAAAAAAAAAATAGGGGCCATACTGGGAATGTGGCTTAGTGATAAGAGTGCTTGCCTAGCATGCATGAAACTCTGGGTTCAAGTCCTCAGTATCACATACACAGAAAAAGCCAGAAGTGGCATTGTGGCTCAAGTGGTAAAGTGCTAGCCTTGAACACAAAGAGGCTCAGGAACAGTGCCCAGGCCCTGAGTTCAAGCCCCAGGACTGGCAAATAATAATAGTAATAGTAATAATAAGCCGAACATCAATGTCTCACACCTGTAATCCTAACTACTCAGGAGGCTAAGATCTGAGGATCATGGGAACCATGATCCTGGGCAGGAAAGGCCAGGAAACTCTTATCTCCAATAAGCCACCACCTAAAAAAACCTGGAAGTGGCACTGTGGCTCAAGTGGAAGAGTGCTAGCCTTGAGCTGAAGAGCTGACAGCCCTCAGGCCCAGAGCTCAAGCCTCATGACTGACAAACAATAAAACAAAATAAATAAGTAAATAATAGGGCCACCTCCACCCTGACCCCATCTCACCAGCCTTGGCCTGCTCCCTTCGAGCCTCATTCAGTCTCCTCTCTGTGTCTGAGAGCTGTTCCCGCAGCCGACTCTCCACCTCAGCCACTTTCTCTTGCAGAGCTGGAATCAAAGGTACAATGGGGCCAGGTGCCAGTGGCTCACGCCTGTAATCCTAGCTACTCAAGAGGCTGAGATCTGAAGATCGAGGTTCAAACTAGCCCAGGTGGGAAAGTCCATGAGCCTCTTATCTCCAATTAACCACCAGAAAATAGGAAGCGGCGCTATGGCTCAAGTGGTAAATAAAGCGCTTGCCTTGAGCTGAAGAGCCCAGAGTTCAAGACCCACAACCAACAGAAAACAAAAAACAAAAAACAACTCAAGCCCAATGTCCAGGCCCTGAGTTCAAGCCTTAGGACTGGCACAAAGAAAAAAAGGTGCAATGGGGAGCATCAGGAGGAGCCTCCCACCTCCACAGCAGCACCATGCCCATCCCACACCTTGTCCGTAGATCTCTTGCTGCTGGGTCAGCTCCTGCCGGAGACTGGCAGCTTCCTTGGTACTCTCCTGCTGGCTCTGACGAGCTGCTTCCAGCTGCAACCCCACGCTGGCCAGGGACTCCTGGGTACGCTGTAGCTCCTGCTCCAGCTCCTGGGCCACCTTGTTCAGCTGCTGACACTCTGCCTCCCCTAGGAGGGAGACATTATTCTCCTCAGATCTTCCATGCCTCCCATATCCCTACCCATCCACCACCCACCCATCCATCCATCCATCCACTACCTACCCATTCATCCAACCACCACCCACACACATACACACAACCATCCATCCATCTACCACCCACCCATTCATACATCCACCATCCATCCATCCATCATTCCATCCATCCACCACCCACCCACCAATCTATCCATCCATTTACCATCTACCCATCCACCACCCACCCATCCATCCATCCACTACCTACCCATTCATCCAACCACCACACACACACACACACACACACAACCATCCATCCATCCACCACCCACCCACTCATACATCCACCATCCATCCATCATTCCATCTATCCACCACCCACCCATCCATCCACCACCACCCACCCATCTATCTATCCATCCATCTATCATCTATCTACCTACCCCTCCATCCATCTATCCATCCACCCACCACCCACTCACCCACCCATCTATCCATCTATCCATCTACCCATCTACCCATCTACCCCCCACCCACCCATCCATCCATCCACCCAGTTGTACCTTGTTCCCGGACTCGGCCCACTTCCTGCTGGATGAGATGGGCACTCAACTGGAGCTCTGCATCTAGGCGGTTCCGTTCTTCCCGAAGCTGCTGCAACTCAAGGTTCATGTCCGAGTCTACTGAGGTTGGGGGTAAGGGTGGAGGACAACTGGGACAGAAAAGGGAAAGAATCAGAAAAAAAAAAACAACAACAACAACAGCTGCACGACCACTTGAGCCTCCATCCCTTGGCTTCTAGCAGTTTAATACCTAAATGCTCCCCAAATGCACACAGCAACCCCCCGACCCCGCCCCGACCTCAAAGTACCCAAACTTCACCTTTCCTTGCGCAGTTGAGCAAGGGCAAGTTTTCGAGCCATCAGACCTAAGAGGGAAAAGGCAGAGAACAGAGATGAGTTTGCAGGGGCTGAAAGGGAAGGCGGGGGAAGAAAGGGAAATGTGATACAGGGAGCGGATGCATGGATGTGGGGCTGCAGAGCAGGCTGGGAAGAAGGCTGGAGCCAGTGGTGCCACAACTGCTCAACCTACCGCGAATGGTGTGGACCTTGCGGACGGCGTAGCTAAGTCTGTTGGCGAGACTGGGCAGCCGGGCGACTGCTTGCTCCACCTTTATCATGTTGCTCTGGAAGCACATCTGAGAGCTGGGGAAAGTATATGTCACTGAGCCTCCACCCCCACCTCATCCCTAAAGGACCTGTGAGGCCTTCTGCAAACATCTCTATGTAACTGTTAACTGAGTGATCAAGGAGGGGAAGGGGACAGAAGTTAGGAAAAGACAAGGTGAAGCCACAGAGAGGCAGAAACTAAGTGCAAGACTTGGTGCTAGGGCTGGGAAGGTGGCTCAGTGGTAGAGCACTTGCCCTGCATGCCTGAGGCCTTGGGTTCGATTCCTCAGCACTACATAAAGCAAAAAGAAAAAAAGCCAGAAGTGGTGCTATGGCTCAAGTGGTAGAGCACTAGCCTTGAGCTGAAGAGCTGAGGGACAGCGCCCAGGCCCAGAGTTCAGGCCCCACAACCGGACCCAAAAAAAGAAAAGCTAAGGGAAAACACCAATGCCCTGAGTTTAAGATTCCAGCACACACACACACACGTGTATATATATGGAAATTTACAGTAAAGGAGGACTCATTTCAGGACAGGGATATGAGGTCAGTTCTGAGATACAGGGCCTACCTGTTCACAGGTGAAATATTTCCGGAGATGTTACTCCTCCAGGGAGCACTCAGCTCATCCCCTCTCATCCCCATCTGGGCTCAGCATCAATTATTGCTTTATTTTTTGTGGGTCATTGGGCTTGAACTCAGGGCTTTAGCTGTGACTTTGAGCTCTTTTGCTCTCGACTAGCTAGCACTCTACCGCTTGGAGCCACAGTGCTACTTCTGTCTTTCTGGTGGTTAACTGGAGATAAGAGTCTCACAGACTTTCCTGCCTGGGCTGGCTTTGACCCACAATCCTCAGATCTCAGTCTCCTGTGTGGCTACGATTACAGGTGTGAGCCTCTAGCACCCAGATCTCCTTATCACTTTAACCAGCACCTTCAGGGCCTGACGAGAACAGATGGCGATGGACCAGGTGGATTTAGAGAGGAAGAGTTCAAACACCTGAGCTGAATGACCTCATTTACTTCTGTAGCTTACTAAATGCATCCTCAGTACCTGCATTTTGGTGTCCAGGTACAGACCAATACATTGAAGGCTAAAAACTAACAATATGGCGAGCAGGGCAGAGTTGGAATGAGAGCCAGGATGTCTGACCAGCTCCAGGGGCTCACATGGAACCCAGGTCTGCAAAAACAGTGACTTGGATCTGGGAGACTCCATGGACTAAGGTTCCACCTCCCACCAACTTTTACTTCTGCTCCTAGGGGGGCAGAAGGGTCTTATGTTTGCACCTAGACAGAAACAAGAAGAAGGGACACCAGGGCATAGGCGAAACACAGAATGAAAAGAGAAGAGGCAATGGTGGAGAGGCATCGGCCAGGTAAGCAGCTCCCCTCTGATCTGAAGGTAACACACAGGGAAGAGGTGAACTACCGGCTAGAATGTCCGGGACTAAGGGGACACAAAGGGAAAGTAGCACTTCACCAAGATCGGCCTGGAATTGATCTGAAAAGAAACGAGAAGCAGTGTGAACTCCCATGCCAAGAAAAGAAAAGAAAAGACTATGCCAGGAAAGAAAAGAAGAAAGGAGAAAGGAGGAGAAGGAGAAGGGGGAGGAGGGAAGGAAGAAAGAAAGGGAAGGGGGAGGGTCCTTTGATGTACACTTCTGGGGCAAAGCCCACTGGGGGGGGAGGGGAACACGGGGAAAGCTGTGCAGAGCCTGCACAATCCTTTGGGCTCAGGAATCCAGAAATGTCTCCATGTGATACAACTCCAGGGGAAGGAGACATTCCATACTGGGGGTCTATAGGCAGGAGCCTCCTGGGAGGGCCAAGGCCGTACATCCATTGTCTGAGTTTCCAAACTCAGAATATCAGAACTGAATTCACAACATCATCCAATTATTTTAAGAATCCCATTTCTTAAAAAAATAAAAACCTCAGGCTGGGATGTAGCTCAGTGGTAAAGCACTTGCCTAGCAAGCA